CTGCTAAGCTAGCCTTCTCTCTGACTCTTAGTTCAGAATGAACCTTAGCCAATTGTTCTTTGCTGCAACCCTCCTTGCTTTGTAGAGTTGGCTTTGGAGTATGGTCTGACTTTGGATTCTTCTTTCCTTCGATCTGGATCAATGAAGAACTCTCTCCACTTTCTTTCAGGTCTTGCTGGTACTGGGTGTACCTACGCTGAATTTTCCTCCTTTGTGATCTAGAAATTACGGGGACCATATCTGGTTCCTTTGTTCTTGGGTGTTTCAGCAATACCCAATTGTTGGGGGCTACCAAAGGAGGCTTAACTATCCTACCTTAGTTTCCAACATTCCTTTGGGTAGGTACTTCCCTAGGTTTGTTCTGCATCACAAACCAATCTAGAACTCTAGGTACCCACGAACTTACTGACCCAGATGTTACGCTGCCCTTTTCTTCCTTCGAGGCCACCTTCGAAGCTGGCTGTGAAGGCAATTGCTTGGCCCTGACCCCAAGCTTTGAGCCTGATTCAGGCTTTCGATGAAGGTGATCATTTTCTATCCTCCGTGAGGCTGGTCTAGGGGGCCAATCTCTGGCTCTGATCCTAAAACCTGAACTCTTCTCCAGTCTTCTTTCAGAATGACTACTCTCTATCCTATAATAGTTAGGTGTTCTGGACTCATATAAGGGCCTCTTGCCTTCAGCATGCATTCTATCAACTGCAGGCTCAACCACCAATGGCTGTTGCCTAACCTTAGCCGGACACAGCCTTTTATTATAAGCATTGGTTGGTTTGGGACGCCTCTGCACATCCTTGTAATATTGCTTCCCATCGACTGGAAGGCCTTTCAACCACTTATAACTCAATCTGCACCTGGGACACATCCTCTGCATTACGGCTGCCTCTAGGGAGTCATCATCCAGTGCTTCTTCATCAGAGTCTTCCCTTTGGTGTGAGAAATCTTGTCCAATAGTTGGTAGATTTCTAGTGTCTTTCTTGATTACTGTCTGGTTGGCCACATGCATCTGTACATTGACTTCTTCCAATTCTTTCAAAGACAGGTTCTGAAAATCTGGCATAATGACATTGGCTGCCACCTCTCCAATTTCTGGAAATGGATTACTGTCGATCCCCATGGCCTTTTCAGCTTTGGCTGGGAATTTCAAACTTCCTTTCTGTATTTGTTCTTGGATCCTGTCTCGAAAAACAACACAGTTTTTAGTCAAGTGAGACCAAGAATTATGCCATTTACAATATACTTTTCCTTTAAGTTCATGAAGAGATGGAATTTTAACCCCTTTTGGTAATTTAAGGAAGTTGGCCGCAAGCAAATGATCAAAAATGTCATATGCCTTAGTTAAATTGAAAGAATACTTCCTGTGGAGATCTTTCTTTTTAAACTGCTGGTCAATTGTCGTATCCTTATGAATTAATGCTTCACAAATCATAGGCTCTTTCCTACAATCTCTGCTGCATCAATCTCATAGTTAGGATCTTTGTAGTATGTCTTATATGATGCATTATTTCGATCTTGCTCCTCTTCTAGTAATGCTTCATATCTAGATACTTTGTAAGTCAGTTCCACTAAGTCCTTGAACTCTGTTGAGTCAAACTTCTTTCGAAGCCTGAACTCTAAGCCATTTTGGGCCAATCTTACGAATTCTGGCTCTGGCAAGATTATTCTACATTTATTTCGAGCCTTTTTAAATCTGGCAATAAACTGAGTATCTTTCTGTTTAGGCCTTTGACTCAATCTTGCCAAGTCTGCCATGGAAACTTCTGGCTCTGATTGGAAGAATTGGGCGTGAAATGCCTCTTCCATTATTGCCAAGTCTGGATAGAGCCAGGTGGAAGGTTAATGTACCATACAAATGCTCCCATAGTTAGAGAGTTTGGAAATAGTCTCAACTTCATATAGTCATGATTGGTAAATTCACCACATTAAGCAGCAAACCTAGCAATATGCTCTACTGTTGATTGGTTTCCGTTCCCATAAAAAAGGATAAAATCTGGTATCTTGAAACCCCTTGGGTATTTATGTACCCTGTCGATCCATTCTGGGTATGGTTTTCTGTACACAGGAGTTTGGACCCCCTGAGCCATTGGTCCACACATCTCCCTAACTATATCAGCAATTTGGTCCCTAGGGACCATATTTTGTGCTTGCTGAACCACTACTGGGGGAACAAACATAGGATTTGGTGGACAAACTTGTGCTTGTGGTCCTCTTGGTCCATAGGGTGGTACATTTGGGACTGGTTGTCCCAGTGGTACAGGTTGCTGTTGGGGATGTGGGTAACCTCTTTGAGCCTGTCCTGCGAAGGGACCTACGAAACATGTGTTGTATCCCTTCCATTTGTGGGAAAACCCTCCAACCCCCCGAGTATAAATTCGAATAAGGGATTATTGTACCCCCTAGTGCCAGGTATGGCTTCGAACGTGGGATTTGGAACCATTCTTATGCCATTTTCTTGTATTGGGCCAGATCCACCAATTTGCATGGCTTCACTGTTAAACATTGAGGCATTTTGGCTTGCTATAGGCCTCGAAATGGGTTCGTACCAAGACTGAAGTGGTGGTCTTTCATGACTCTGATTACTAGTTTGACCATTAGAATGTCCATTAACTTGCATAGGCTGTTTATCTCTAGCCAATCTTTGCTGAGGGACATTTACTTCCTCTATGTGTCTTGCATTTGTTGGTTGGTGGTTATTCATTCGATCCAAAAAGAATGTTGCTCACATTTCCATTGTGTTCATTAATTGCTGTCCCATGGCATCTACTAGGCCATCCCATGGATTTATTGGCTGAGTAGATGGCACAGTGGACGGTCCAATTCCTTGGTTTTGTCCAATACTATGAACATGTGGTTCTTGATCCAAAGTGCTGGTCTGTTCGACCAAAGGTTCTGATAAAATAGGAGTTTCCACAGGATGTGTTATCACATTATCCCCTGGATTAGGTATTTCTATCTCTCCTTCCACGCCTTCTTCCAAGCGTTCATTTTCTCCTTGTCTCATACGTCTAGCCATTTTAAATGGGTCCCACTGGGTGTGCCAAAAATATATGTTGGCTTTTTGGCTTTCGAAGGTTATTTTTTGTAATTATGAGCGTGCCAGCAATGATCAATCAGTCCTTACAGAATTTTGATTGCCAACCAATTATCAGACGATTGTGTTGTAGTTCTTTCAGCCTCAATGAAGAGGATTTTTACTGGTAGCTTGATTTAGGAGAATTTAAGCACAAGAACAGTTAAATAAAGAGCAATTGAAGCATTTCATTAGTATGAAAAACTTACAATGATCCAAACTTAGCCTCGTAGAGGTTTACAGCGACAATCTACTTGAAACTACTTCTATGAATGAAGTGCAGTGCAGGAATTTAAAGTACAGGAATGTAAAGAATAAGAAATATAAAAACTGGAACGAAATATGTAAAGTAAGACTGGTTTCTTTTATCTGAGTCTGGGGTTTTTTTCTGGGGCCTTCCCTGCTATTTATACTCCTCAAAGATGACCATCGAATTGCACTTCAAACCGTCGAACTGCTCCTCCATGGTCGTTGATCATGCTGCCTTATAAGTAGTTCCACTACGCCATCACTTGCAGTTAGGCTTCCCTCCTATATTTGAATTTGAATGTGAGTAACTGTTGAAGCCACGTCACCTTGCATCTCTTTGTTGATCCACTGCTACTCAGATCTCATAACAGCCAATATTAACTGCCACGTGTACGATCAGGATCGAAGACTTGAATGGTCTCCCCATATTACCCTTACTTTGCCACGCGTTGAATTGTAACTAGCTTGCACAAAATATGTAGCCAACAATTTTATACTCCCTCCGTCCCAAAATAATGGTCCCTTTTGGGAAATCCAACTTTTTTTGGTAGTACAATTATTGTACTTTTAAAAAGTTGGTTTTCCAAAATTACCCTTTGATAGTACACCTTTTTGGAAATATCAATGTCATAATTGTACTTTTTATATTATTTATGAATTTAAAAGAAGGGTAAAATGAGAAATTTATATTATTTTTGTACTTGAATTTTGAAGAGGGACTAATATTTTGGGACAATGGAAAATGAAATAAGGGACTAATATTATGGGACGGAGAGAGTATAATATTTACGTCACATCAACATAAAGGAGTACCAAAATGAAAAGAAAATATTTGGGATATTCATAAAGGCTCTGTTTCGTTTAGATTTCAAAATATAGTTCTACTACTAATTTGAGGGTGGTATTTGGTTGCAGCTTTCAAATCATAATTCTACATTTATTTCTCAAAACTCATTTCAAACTATAATCATTATTTTTCAAAACTCCTGACCAAACACACAACTCAAAACTCTTTTCAAAACTCAAAAATAACTTAATTTTTTTTTAATTTTAAATATTTTATTTTATTTTATAGGAATATTTTTGATATTTTAATTTTCATAAAAATATTTTAATTTTTTAATTTTAATATTTTGATATTTTAATTATAAATATTTTGATTTTCGGAATATTTTTAATATTTTAATTTTCTAAATAATTTTAAAATATTTTTAATGTTTATACAGGCTAAAAAATTACTTAAAAACAATTAATTGAAAAAAAAATCATTTTTTATTTGAGTATTTTAAAAACAGTTTGGTTATGACGGTTGATTAAAATACGTATCACGTTATGAGTTGTGTGTTTGATTATCAATTATAACTTGAATTAAGTTTTGAAAACTATTTTGAAAAATTATCGCCAAATAAATTTTCTTTTTTCACATGTCACATTAAACTTTCAAAACTCAATTTCACATATAATTCAAAACTCAATTTAACACTCTATTCAAAAATCAAAACTAAACAAATTTTCTACACTCAAATCATAATTCCACAATTCACAAATTCAAAATATAACTCATACTCTCAAATCATATTTATAAAATTCTACCAAACACAACCAAAATTTTTACAATTAATTTATAATGATATAATCTTAAAAGTATCAATTTTTTATTAATTACATATTCAATGATATAGAATTCATTATCATAGCAGCATTGAGTACCACGTGGTGGTGTGCGATGACCAACCAATAACTTCTCCTGATTCAGGTCTATTTTCTCTTTTCTTGGTCTCTCTCGTTGCTCTTCAGGTTACGATTACCGATTCAGGTAACCCCTCAACTGTACTTGTTTCTCTGTGCATTTTCATATATATATATATATATATAAAGCCCTAATCTTTGTGCGATTGTGCAAGTTTTTCTTTACGATCGTTCTGCTAATACACTCACATGAACGACTAAGAACACCCAAGTCGCATTGCTTTTTTCTGATTTAGGTGAATCTAATTGTCGTTTGTTTCAGAAATTGTTGTATGAAATGAAAGTCTGATGCTTTCATTTCATTGCCGAGATTGAAGTTAGTCTCTGAAAGCTTTGAATTGTGTTTTGGGCCTTAATTTGGGTAAATATGCTTTGCTTTAAAGTGGGTTTTCAATTATTGATAGTATTAGTAACAGGGACGAAGCTTTAAGATGCATTATTGGTATTGCCGAGGCAGCGATTGCATTTTCACACACATATATACACATATCTAAACCCCTAATTTGTGTGTAATTTGTTGGGTTTCGTGAGCCGTGGGTCCAATGGAGTGTTGGGGCCCATTTTCTTCGGGTTCTTTGATAATTTCCTGCGTTACTCTAGTTTCTATGCTTATAAATGGATGAGGGGGTGCCTCTTGTATTGTTGAGAGAGTTGTAATTGTTTTTCTGATCATACTAAAACGGCTGTGGCTGTGGCTGTGGCTGTGGCTGTGGCTGTGGCTGTGGACGTAACCTTATCCTGGGGTGACCCACATAAATCTTTATGTTTTTGGTGTGTGTGATTGTTTTGATTCGTTTTAACTTTATTGTTTATTATTTCGTGTCTCACCAATCCTGGTTAGGAATTGTCGTTTTCCTAACACAGTTGTGTATGTTTTTAATGATGATCTTTCTGCTAATACACTCACATGAACACCACCTAATTTACATTGCTTTTTCTGATTTAGGTGAATTTTGATTCTCATTTGGAAACCTGGATATTTGTTTCTGTGTTTGGAGATTGTTGTGTTAAAGCTTGATGGTTTCATTGCTGGGATTGAAGTTAGTCTATCTGAAAATTGGAATTGAGTTTTAGGGCTTAATTTGGGTAAATACACTTTGTATCAAAGTGGGTTTTCAATTATGGATGGTAACAAGGACGAAGCTACAAGATGCATTGGTATTGCCAAGGCAGCGATTGCATCAGGCAACAAGCAGCGTGCACTGAAGTTCATTGGAATTGCACGACGGCTTGACCATAATTTATCTGTTGATGCTCTTTTGGCCACCTGCGAAAATTTAGATTCGGCATCTCCTGGTCCTTGTGATGATGAAAAACACAATGACAGTGCTAAGAATGAGGCCACTCCGGGTAAATTTGATGAGGTTTCAAATGGGGAGTGTAACTATACAGAAGAGCATGTGCATTTGATTAGGGAAATTAAGAAAACTAAGGATTACTATGACATTCTTGGTCTTGGAAAGAGTTGTTCGGTGGAGGAGATTAGAAAGGCCTACAGGAAATTGTCATTGAAAGTTCATCCTGACAAGAACAAGGCCCCTGGTTCTGAGGAGGCATTCAAGAAAGTTAGCATGGCATTTAAGTGCTTGAGCAATGATAATTCGAGGAGACAGTATGATCAGACGGGATTGGTTGAGGAATTTGGGTTCAACCAGCAGCACAATGTCAGGCGGAGGAGGGGGAGGAGAACTGGACATGATATGTTTGATGATGATTTTGATCCTGATGAGATGTTCAAGGCATTCTTTGGCCAGACCGACATGTTTCGGACGTCACGTGTTTACAGGAGGAGCAGAGGGACTGGCAATCAACAGCGTGAAGATTTTGGTGGAGCAGGGCCTAATCTGATGGTTCTTCTTCAGATATTACCGTTTCTTATAATATTCTTGCTTGCTTATCTGCCCTTCTCGGAGCCTGATTATTCTTTGCAGAAGAACTATTCCTATCAGTTCCCCAAGACTACGGAGAAACATGGAGTGGAGTTTTATGTTAAATCGCCTGAATTTGATCAGAATTTTCCACTTGGAAGTCCTACCCGAGCTAATATTGAAAATTATGTGATAAGGGATTACAAAAATATGCTTGGTCGTTACTGTCACATAGAACGACAGAGGCGCCAATGGAGCAGGAACATGCCCACACCTCATTGTGACAAGCTTCACAAGTTAGTAGTAGCATGAAGGTCAGGTGAAGAGTCTCTTTGCTTCTATGTAGAAAATTTTGTTTGGGTTAATTTTCTTGTTCTTTTAGGCTCAGTTTGGAACCAACTTTTTTGTGTCCCTAAAAAGTTAATAGAATATGAATGTTAATTGGAAAATGACGAATAAAGGCAAATAAAAAAAAAAGCAAAAAAAACAGTTAACAGAGTTGGTTCCAAATGACCCCTTAACTGAATGTGTGTGGGGCTGAAACATTATGCCAGCAGTCTATGTATGATGTATGTTATGTTTTCTGAATGAGAGCTCTTCTATAGGATTACGAGGCATATACCCTTGTTGTATACATGTGTTTAACAACCATCATGTCTCATTATTTGTTGTAGATTATCAAAGTGTTATATAAATATGCAATTTAGAAGCGCTTTATCCCGAAAGGGTCAGATACCAAACCATTGTTAATTTCTAATGATATGCTAGCTTGAGTCCAATCTTATAGACAATGTAATCTCATTATGGGGTTTCTGCAAGGGGATGGGATCTAGCCATCGACTAAATGGGTCATGAAGGTTTGTTTTCCTCCCTTGAAGAGCTAGAAAAGTCATATGACATTATTTAACTGCTTAACAATCTAGTTAGATTCGTAGTCTATTCTTGTCACATGACTATATGACTCTGTGAACAAGTTGACATGAGAGTTTAAGAGATGAATTTCCATAAGGTTTACCATTTATATAATGTTCTATCTCTTGTTTTGCTCTTGAGAATAAACTTCTCGGGGCCTCGTTTAGCAACTCAATATTTTAGCCTAAAAGTAAAAAAGTCACTTAAAAAAACTAAAAAGCCAACAACCTATACCAAAAAGTCAAAAATTTCATTTTCTCTCTACTTTTTGCTATCTTTTTGTAAAAAATCAAAAAATTATTCCAAACTTACTAATTTTTTTTTATCTCATATTTTAGCCAAAAAAAATTAAAAAGATACTAAAATAGCTTGTTCTTAAACGTTATATAATTGTTTTCTGTCTCATTAAGGTGCCGTTTGGTAACACTTACGTTTTCAGTTTATATTTACAAAAATTTTAAAAACTCATATAAAAACTTGTTTGGTAAATTTTTGATTTATAAATCAGTGGTCTCAGTTTATAAATTTGGCCAAAAAATGTAAACTCAAAAAATGAGTTGATAGTTTATTTATACAAAAGAAAAATATTATTTTTTACTCATCACAAAAAGTATAATTTTTATTATAGAAAATATATATAATTTCGTCATTGATAACTTTAGGGGAGTTGTACACATAATTTCGTTATTCATAACTTTCATCACAAAAAGTATTACTTTTTTTTCTTTAAAAAAAATGTTTTATTTCAAACTTAGGCCTTGTTTGGCATATACTAAAAAATTCAAAAAGTCACTATCCTATTTAAGTCACACACTACAAGAAAATGCAGAAATGGCGACTAAAAAAATTATTTTCGTCGCTGAAAGTGCCATTTTCGGCGACCAAAATGGAACTAGTAGCCAAAAGTGAAGACTTTTGGCGACTAAAACAATTTAGTAGCCAAATGTATAGTTATTGACGACTAAAAATCAATTTAGTTTCCGATTATATGGGTTTTACCGACTAAAGGTTTTTTAGTAGCCAAAAGTGACGATTTTTGGCGACTAAAATAATTGAGTAGCCAAAAGTATAGGTTTTGGCGACTAAAAAACAGTTTGGTCGTCGATTATACGTGTTTTGGCGACTAAAAATAATTTGGTCGCTGAAAGTGAAGCTTTTTTACTACAAAAAAAATTTAGTAGCTAAAATCAGGCAATTGGCGACCAAAATTCAATTTAGTAGCCAAAAGGGGACGTTTTTGGCGACTAAAAACAGGTTTAGTTGCCAAAACTGTTTATTTTTAGGCGGAACTTATTTTTTTAGCAAGTCAAAAATTTCCTTTTCTCTCTACTTTTTGCTATCTTTTTGTAAAAAATCAAAAAATTATTCCAAACTTACTAATTTTTTTTTCCTCATATTTTAGCCAAAAAAAATTAAAAAGATACTAAAATAGCTTGTTCTTAAACGTTATATAATTGTTTTCTGTCTCATTAATAAAAAATGGTTAAGATAAATTGATTATTGAGACTATCAGGTGGAGGATTTGGCTGTTGAAAGATCAATTTGTAGAGCTTGAGTAGATAGTTATCTGCCGAACAACTAAATTGAATTTGAATGTTTGCAAAAGTAGAGACAAACAGTAGAATATACTCTTCTTTGCATCATTACTAAAACAATTATCTCATTATTTCTTATTATAGCAAAACCATCTATGACATATTGTGAACCACCTTAACTGGAGAGCGAGGAATTCCATGACTCTTTCAGCCCGTATACCGAGGCCTACATTCAATCATAGAATATTCCTTTTTCTCCCTTTCAGCACATTGATAATTATCCTGCCATTCAATGGTAAGTAGCACAAACTATGTATACATACATAGTGTCTACATAGCACAATCTCATTCACTACTCCAAAAAATCTTGGACAATTTAATATGATTACCTACTTTCTCAATTTAAGAACATCTGTTCTCTTAACTTATTGTCCAATTCAATGTATCCACCTTTATCTCCATTTTTTTTTAAACATTTTACTCGATGAGAGCTCATGGCTAGGAAACTCTTAGTGAGTAGGAATTTCACTGCTAGACTTTGAAAATTCTTTCTATAGTTAAATTGAAATAGGATAATGAAAAATCTTAGCAAGAGGGTTTGAAGAAGAAAAAGAGAATACTTTTGAGCATGGCTATACAAGTGCTTTGGCTACACAAGCAATATCACAACTAGCTGCCCACCTTGTATGCTAATTCCATTAAAAGATATTTTTGATTTGAGCCATCCATTCATATTGTACCCACTGGGTGTTTTGATTCTATAGTCCAGTAGTGTTTTTAGTATTTGTACTTGTTAAAAACTCATGTTACTCTGGTCAGGCATGATTAGAGGTGGGAACAGATTGCATTAAATCTAGGGAGTTACTGAAGCGTGCAGGAATAGAAATCAAATCATATGTGGTTCTGGTGATGTGAAAGAGTCGAGCATTAAAGCACTTTCCTTCCCTTGCATCTCTTTATGCTCATTCAAATATGGTTCTTATTTGCTGGAGTTATGTAATGCCGCCTTATATTTTACTTTATTAAGAGGGTTTGTGAATGTCTAAACAATGCACATATAAGAAAGTGATTCCCTACTCCAAAGGGTTTTAAAAAAAACTCCACCCTTGTTTGTATTTGTGGAATTCTCATTTAACTCATCCAAACCTCTAATGTGATGTGCTTTGAACCACATCAAGTTTGGATGTAGACAGTGATGCACTCCAAGACACAAGCAAATATTTTTTTTGGGCGTGTATTTGATGTTCCATTTTGCAGCATAGAGTCTATGTTTAGCATGTTCATAAAGTGTTACTAGAAAAAACTAACACTTTAACGATTTACGTTTCAAGTTCCCAAACATCGTGCACTTTCATTCCAAAACGGTGAATTTAGCGATCCAGAGCGATCCCATAATTTTTTCTATGCTTTTCATTAAAAGTTCTCCTTAATAGGAAAAAAAACAAAATTTAATGAACTAAAATCTAGATGGAGTGGAGTCATTGGATTGGCAATATAAAACAATGGGTTATAATGATCATAAAATTGTGTTGTTAATGATTAATTTGAAGAAGAATACATTATAATATATTGATTATCAAATTAAGAAGTCTACCCTTATCGTATCATATTTTAGAGCATGTGCGTTATGTGTTCCCGTTTCTATTTCTCGTTCCATAACAATCTGCGTTCTAGGAGTGTTTGGTGTTGCATATTTGCTGGTTCTGATGAGACTTGTATTTAGTTTTTCAGATCATGCAGTGTTTGTGGCCAGCATTTTGAAGACTCAAGTGGCCATGGAAAAATATGGTGGTGCCTGGACACAAAACAGCCACCGGTAGTTAGATCAGATGGTAGGGTTTAGTTGCACAGAAGTTATTTAGGGCTTCTGCCGTCTGATTATGGAGCAATTTTCTGCCTAGTTGATCCGGGATGGTGTGTACACTACTTTTTTTTGTTTCTTATAATATTGTGCAAATTGTCTGAGAGTATTTGATGCCTTGTAGGTTTGAGGATGATAAGATTGAAATCTCATTGAAATGAAGCTATTCAATTTACAATAAGATGCAATTACATTTTTCTGAATGTTTTGTTGTTTTTTTTAGGATAGCTTTGTTGCCCCTCTCTCTCTTGGAAAGATAGTGATCCAAGTTGAATTGTATGTTATTTTCGAGGGTGAAGGGCATATTTTTCATTTGGAACCAAACAAATCTTGATTGCATGAGAAAGATTCAGACTTTGGATACTGGGGATACATTACATTTTGAGTTGAGATTATAGCAAAATGCTAGTTTACCCAAATCTTTATACAAAATCTTCTACTATGATGATGTGATGGTAACCTTTTTTTTTTGTAATTAAAATCATTTTAATGGATTCTTGGTTTTATTGTCCACAACACAACTATATTATTTTGCATAGATTTTCTGTTTTGTTATTTTGTACAAATTTTTAGCCAAGGGATTCTCTCAAATCGTTGTGGGCAGAGGCCTATGTCCTTCGAATTGCAAATGTTGAGCTGGTTTGGTAATTTTTTTTTCAAATTAAGAGTTAATTATCATGAAGTATAAATTATTATTATTATTATTTTTTTTCTGGTTTTCATACAATAAAATTTTTAAAAACTTATTTAAGTTACTTTTTGAAGTTATATTGTGCCACAAATTTTTCAAATAAAATAAAGTATAAGTAATTATAAGAAGGTATACCAAACAAGATTATTGTGACACATGAAATAAATTTCTTTGTTATCTGCTTAAGAAAAAAATATTAAAATATTTTTACATATAAGTAACTTTACTAGCATATTATCCGTTCTATTCACGGGTATAATAAATAATCAAAAAAAAATTCTAAATTAAAATAATAATATAAATTTTATTTAAAATATGTAGTAAAAATAATTCATAATCAATTAATTTTATTCATTTTTATCAGAGTTACACATAAGAAAAGTTTTTTTTTTTATTCTGATGTCATTAATTATGTTAAAAATTCTGAATAAAAAATTGTACATCATAATTTAATTGGTAAAAATTAAAGAAAAATTAAAAAAATTATATTTACGATAAAATATAAATACATTTTGTTTTATAAATTTTATAATTTTAATTTAGCATATGATAGTAGTAAATTACATTTGTTAATAAACTAATTTTTTCTTATTTTGTAAAACCTAAAAATTTATTTACTCGAAATTGTAAATTATCTTATGTTATAACTATTTTGTGAAATGGATTAGGATTGACTTGTAGTATTCGACTAAACATTAGAAGTGAGTTAAAAGCTAATTGACTCAATATTTATGCTAATGTGACATTCATTTAATCATTAAAAATTATCTTTATCAGTTTGTGACCGAATTTAAGAGGTTTCATTGCCTTTATTAATAAAATGTCTCTTTGATATACTATAGATATATAGATTGGAATGTCGATGCATATAAAATTATTAAACATCAAAAGAAAAATATATAGAAGATGTGAATTGATTAATATATTTTAGTGATATAAAAATTTAAATTTTAAAACTGATTAGTTAAATTTTTTTTAAAAAAATTTCTAAATTTAAATTTTTAAATGGATTAACTAACTTTCCTTTTTGAAATGTGTAAATCAAGGAATTATAAGATTTTGTATTTATTTATTTTTAAAATGGCTCGATAAAAATTAGCCAATAGAAGATTTTTTAATTATTTAAAAAATAAGAAATCTAAAAAAATAGTATGAGAATTTTGAGTTTCTCATTAAAAATTCTATTTTTCTTAATATATAGTATAAATTGTGCAAATTACCGGTATTTTTGTCATTGTCAAAATTCACAATAACCCTTATGTTTTACTTCGTGTGTGATTTACCCGACGTTTTAAGTGAGCAGGTGTTTTATACTTCTTGTTAATGTGTAGCAAAGTAAGTTTTGTTTAGTTTTGACTAAAAAAAAATTATTTTAATTTGAAGAGGTTGGTCTAATGGCTTGAGGCTTGGGGCTTAGGCGTCTGTTTGCTTTAAGTCTCAAGTTTGATTTTTTCAATCAATATAAAATTCTTGAGGCTATAAACAACAGAAAAACTTGTTTCAAAAGGCTTATTTAAGTTGTAGGGATTTAGTTTGGTTCGCGAAAGTTAACCCAGGAACATAACTAATGCTTTGGGCAATTTGGATACAACGCAAGAATCTTGTTTTCAATCAAAATGTGCAGTCTTGTTCATATACCATTGAGTTTGCTAAAGAGTGTTACACTTTGGCCATATGTCGCAATGTTCATAAATCTAGTCTCCTATTACAGTACCTTAATGCCTCTGACTCCATGCAGGTTTCAAGTGAAATGTGTGTTCTTCAATCGACAATAGGTTCTGCCATGGATTTGCAGGAAGACACAGCAACGTGGACCTTCATTATAGATGGATCATGGCGGGCGAAGGGTTTGCGAGCAGTTGCGGCATGGATCTGTTACAATACTAATTGGCGTGTGGTGGGGCAGCATGCAATGGCTTTACATTGTCCTTGTTCTCCTCTCGTTACCGAAGTAACTGCTTGTTTAGAAGCTGTGCGATGGGCTATGGGACAGCAACTACACCGAATCAAGATTTTGACTGACTGCCAAGTTTTGGTTAATTTACTTCAATCTAATAGCTGTAATGATGATTGACATGTAACTTCTTTAATTAGTGATATTTGATATTTTAGCAAGTCTTTTACCTTTCTTAGTATTATCAAGGTAGGAAGGCACCTAATTTCTCTAGCGCATACGCTGGCTACTACTATACGTAATACTTACTAATGATATTTGCTGCTTGTTTTTGTCCTCAAAAAAAATAAAAAATAAAAAATATTATTATTATTTTGCCTATTTAAGTCAAAATAAAAATACATGTTTATTTTCAACCAAAAAATCTAACAATTAAGAACAAAAAAATTAAGAATCCACTCAACTTTATTACTAGCTAAAAAAAATATCACTTATCAAACATATCAAATTTTTAGCAATAATCACCTTATTTGGTTCTAATTTCTTGGATTCAAATTTTTTGAAAATTGAATTTTTTATTATATATATATATATATATTTTATTTTTAGTGATTTTTTGTTTACTATTAGATATATTTAATATAAATATAATTAAAAAATATAATATTTGTGAAAAAAATTATAAAAAATTCAATAAATATAAAAAATACGAAGATTCAATATACTTTCTTATTCTTGTAAATTTATTATTTTTTTAAATATTTGCTTTTTAAGTACATCTAAGTTAGGTATATCTAATAATAAAAAAATTATTTAAAATATTAAAAAATCACTAAAATAAAAATATGTGAAAATAATTTTCAAAAAATTGAAACCAAATTTATCATAAAAAATAAAAAATACTAAAAAAAAGGTAATCAAATCATCAAATATATATAAAAAAAAAGAGTAGATTACAAATACACCTCTTAAAGTTTGCTTAAAATACAAATTGTCTTATGTGGTTTGGAAAATTACAAATACCTCACTGCCAAAAATTTTCATTTAACAGAATTAATTAAAAAATTGAAATTTTTAACTGTTTACCTATATAATAATAAAATTATCTGAATTATTAATTGAAATAAAAAATTTAACTTTATTTAAAACTGTTAATTAATTTGATGATTTATTAATAAAATGATCTATTTGTTATAAAATTAGAAATTTTAGGGACATAATGTAATTTTTAAAATCACAAAAGATAATTTATAATTTAAATAAATCTCAAAGAACCTACTAGTAATTAAAAGAAAAAAAGAAAAAAAAAAAAGCCCAACACAAGTGTAACATTAATCAAACACGTGGATGAATGCCACGACACGAGTCACGTTACGGCGTCGTATTCGTCACCCCTTTGTGTATCTATATATAGACTACAAATATTCAAATAAAAACCAAAATCAAAATCTCCAAATTTTCTCACTCTGCGAAAAGCAATTGACGAAAATGGCTGAAGCGAAGAACACCACCTTTGATTCTATCAGGGAATGGGTCGTCGATCACAAGCTTCGCACTGTTGGTAATCTCTCTCTCTCTCTCTCTCTATATATATATATATATATATTTCCATGGAGTTTGGGTTTTGGGTTTTGGGTTTGATTTTGATTTGATTGTTTTGGTTTCATATATTTTTTGAAGGATGTTTGTGGCTAAACGGAATAGCGGGTTCAATCGCCTACAATTGGTCCCAACCCAACATGAAAACCAGTGTTAAGATCATTCACGCTAGGTACGATTTTGCATAACCCATTTGGAAATCCGAGAAAATATAATGGAAAAAGGAAAATAAAAGTGAAAAGTTTCTGTTTTTGTTTGGGATTTGTTAAAACATTAATTCTATCGATTTAGGGTTTTATGATAATTCTTTCTGTTGAAGTTCATGCTCTTGTTATTGTATATCCAAATTCCTTGATCAGAATGCAGTTTGTGTTATCTTATTTCGTTATTCATTACTTTTTCTTCTTTGGATGAAAATTTCATATTTGCAATGATTGTTCCACTTCATTATGGGTTTAGCTTCTCTCAAGTTGAGAGAGCGTTTAAACTTGGTAGTCACATATTGAGACTGATTTTCGATGATTCGAACAGTTCATTTTTTAGACTCGTTGACTAGAATACTCATGCAAAATGATCGGCTATCATCGGTAATTATATGTTTGAATCAAATTTGTATTACAGAAAATGAATGGCTATTCTTGTGGAATCCAAATCCTTGTGGAATCCAAATCCTTGTGGAATAACTACTCCCTAACTCAAAACTAGTTTTGGTTCTTTCATGATTGGAACACGATTCAAAGAGTTCTTGTAAGAGCATCTCCAAACCTTCATATTTTTTTCATCTAATTTGCTTTCAAATTTGAGCAAAAAGTTTAATTTGATATGAATTACTCCAACCCTTCCATCAAAATCTTTTTAAAAATTCCCCTTTTATCCAAGATTTCCATTTTCATCAAATTTGATGAAAAAAATCATCTCTCATGCTTTATCTTTTTAAATTTTCATCAAATTCAAAATTGATGGATTCTCAATTTGATGAAAAAAATGTCTCCCTTGATTTGATAAACAATTTGATCAAAGGATTGTAGATGATTTTTGAGCACTTTTTCATCAAATTAAATTTGATGGGAAAAAAAGGTTGAGGATTGGAGATGCTTTGAGCTTCTTACTAATAAGTAATAACCATTGTATCATTATCTTGGAGACTCAGAATCTTTCCCTTTCTATGTCCTTGGTTGGTGGCCCTAAGTTTTATAAGGCCTTAGGCAAACTCCTAGGATAAGGCCTTTTTATTTGCATATATTAAGATATGAAGAAATCATTTAACAAACTCAAGAGATAAAAAGCTGGTCTTGTTAGCTTATAGTTTAGTAAAATCCAATTTACAACAAGAAAAAAACACACCAAACAAAATGTAAATTTGCAATACTAAAAATGAACCACCAACAAATTATCATTTAAACATTACTTTTATCACATTTTTAGTTGCAAAATTACTAATTAAGCTTACATAATCTAGTTTATCTACCTTGTACTTTTCAATGGATAATATAGTTAATCCATTCAATCTTATGTGACATGGTTGATTGAATGTAAGCTTTGATCAACTTTAACTTTGAAATCTTCGTATTAATACTGTTGTAATGAACTAAAATGGAATGGAATGATCATTCCTTAGTCTCCCTATGGAGTGACTATTCACTTACAATGTTCTATTTTTTAGAAAAATTTCTTTTTTGGTGCTTTGCTTTTTCAAATCAAAGAGCTAGCTGCTACTGCTTTATTTTAGGAAATCAAAAAATGATTTTTTATTTTTTGCTCTTTGAATTTTATGCGTTTCAAGTAGTGGCATCATGAATGTAAAGATGCTTTTGCGTTGTAAAACAGGTTGCATGCACAAGCACTGACACTTGCTGCATTGGCTGGAGCTGCAGTCGTTGAGTACTACGACCACAGGACTGGAGCAAAGCAAGAGCGTGTTGCGAAGTTTCTCAATCTGGATAGAAATTCACATAAAGATTGAAGCCAGGACTTACATTAAACATTCATGAGCAACATATCTCAAATATCATTTCTCTCAATGTCCTGTATTGTAGTTGGCAGCGTTGTCGCTGGACAGTCTGATCAACCACAGTTTTGTTAGCTTTTAATAGCATGCTTAAACTTTCAAGGAGGATAGTCAGTTTCTGTATCCAGGTTCTTCATTGTCTTGCTATAGTATAGGTTTTGTAATTCTAATATTTGATTTCAATACTAGTTTTTGTCAAATAATTTCACTAGGGTCTGTTTGTCCTTTATGGAAAATGATGGTTTGATTGAAAATCTGAGACCCCAGGCTGGCTTGGCAGAAATGTATGTTCTTGTTATTGTTACCATTATTGAATAAAATTCATACATATTTTTTTTTTATACATAATGATATGGCTCATTGTGGACTTTTTATTTCAAATGAAAACACCATTGAAGATAAGTTCATTTATAATAATGGCATTGTCATATTATTTTTGTGAAGTTTTTGTATAAATTTTATATACAAGTAGAGTTTTTCTTATTGAATATGGTGATGGAAAGGAAAATGATATGTTTACATAATTTTTATGAATAATGCTTGGGACCCCCTTTTGGGGGTCACCTCCTCACCCCCCTTTGCCACGTGGTAGGTGTTGATTGGAGGAGGAGGAAAAAAAAGAAAAAGAAAAAGAAAATGTAACCAATGAGAGAGAGAGAGGGGGTCAAAGGGGGTGGGGGGAAAAGGGGGATGAATCATTGTTGAATTTTTATACAGAATTTTACGACAGGAATGATGTGAGTGGCATTGTTGAAAGGAAAATCTATTCCTTCAGAATTTTTATATAGAATTTATACTAGATTAATGTGGCTTTGTCATTTGTATAATTAAAAAGACATTTCAATATTTTAAAATGGTATGCTCAAAATTCACTCAATGGATTGTATGTTTGTGTATATATATTATATCTAAACAGAAATGCTTCCTACCCCCACTGGGGGTCGACCCCCAGTGAGGTGTCACTCCGGGATTGGCCCAAAAAAACAGTACAGTTTTCTTTTTTTTCTTTTTTTTTTTTGTGTTTTCAGCGAATAGGGGGTCGCCACCTCACTGGGGGTCGACCCCCACTGGGTGTATGAATCACGGCTGTATATCTAAAATGGTATGCTCAAAATTCACTCAATGGATTGTATGTGTGTGTATATATATTCTATATGAAGGATGTAGGTGAGTCGGTGTAAACGTTGTCACATTTTTTTACTTTTCTAAGTTTATTTTTTTCATTTAAAGAATTAGTTAAGATGGGCATAAATTGATTCAGATTATCAAAAATAAAACAAAATAATAATAATAAAATAAAAGATTAGTGAGAGAGGAGGAGAGAGGTGGGTTGGGGATATGTAACTAGGTCAGTTTTATCATTAGGAATAATTCAACAGTACTTTCATATCATATCTTCCCATTTGAATCATCTTATGAGTATTAGGCTTATTTTGTTCAATTTTGATGGCTATTGTGATGAAAGATTTTCAAATTTCAACTTTTAGGTAGTTTCAATTATCATGGAGGCAAAAATTAAACCAATGAAATAAAAAAATTTATTAAGTCGAAGGATGATGAAAGGAAATAGCATATTTGGTTTTTAGTCAATCACTAATTCACACATTTTCTGTACATTGTTTGTTTGCTTGGAAAACAAGGCTAAATTTTCTTGTCAAAAAGTCCATCCATTTACTTTTATTTATTTATCTATTGTTTTTTCTTTGGAAAGTTCTCCATCCATTGCCTCTGGATTGGATCTATATGGTGTTTTTATAGGTTTAATTACATTTATCCTCATCAATTTTTACTAAATACTATTCTGTCTCTCTCAACTTTAAAATTACACATATAGATCCATTAATTATAAATAGGGCAAATTACATATACCCCTCGAGGTTTAGCAAAATTACAGATACCCCCCTAAAGGTACTATTTGCATAACAAATTAGGGGATAAATTGTTATGAAAATATAAACCTCAGGAGGTAATTTGTTATGAAAACATAAACCTCAGGGGGTATTTGTAATTTTTGAAAACTCAGGAGGGTATCTGTAATTTAGCTAAATCTCGAGGGAGGTATATGTAATTTGCCCTTATAAATAATAAAAAAAAAATACAACCATCTTCTTCCTGAAAGTGATTTTTTAATAATTAAAGGGTTTAAATATGCAATTTTAAAATTGAATAGAATTAAGTGTAATAAACCTTTATTTTTTATTTTTAATGAAGTTTACTTCCATAGACCTAATTTAAATTCACTGATGCGTGGTTTTCTTGACTTTATATTCTGGTAATAATTTTGCAAAGTTTCAATTCAACACTGAAATTGCAAAAATAAAAAATAAAAAAAATAATAAAAAAATAAAAAATTCATAGATTTTCAAACAAATAAAAATAAAATGAAGAAAACAAAATAAATAAGAATGTAATTAATTTCTTGGAAAACAAAAAACCTAAAAATTAAGAAAACAAGATAAATTCAATTTGAAAAGCCTAATAATTCTAAAATATTTATACAAAATTACAACTTTCCTAATAAAATCCTATATAATATAAAAATATTAAAAATAAAAATTCTTTATAAATATTGTCTTACATCATTAATAAATTCAATATCTAAACATAATCGTAAAAAAAAAATAAAATAAAAAAGAAAAAGAAAAGAAAAGGTTCATTATAAAAAGGGAGCTTTTTTAGTAAATCCATTATCTAAGAGTGTTGTTCCATAAAACCCATACTGTTTTTTAATATTCCATTAGGTCCATTTCATACAAAAAGACCAAAAAAGCCCTAAAGAAACGTGCGCCCCTCTCTCTCTCTCTCTTTGAATCTAATAACCGTCTCTCTTCCCCTCTCTATTCTTGCGCAGGAAATCACGCACAGTACCTCTACAGTCCAGAAATCAAAATCCATATTCCACATCGCCTCAATGCCCAGAAGACTGCCTTCGTTCCATCGTCGCATCGTCTCATCATCTTCTCCGTCGTCCACTGATGCGTGGTTTTCTTGACTTTATATTCAGGTAATAATTTTGCAAAATTTCAATTCAACACTGAAATTGCAAAATTGAAAAAAAAAAATTCATAGATTTTCAAACAAATAAAAATAAAAATTAAGAAAACAAAATAAATAAGAATGTAATTAATTTCTTGGAAAACAAAAAACCTAAAAATTAAGAAAACAAGATAAATTCAATTTGAAAAGCCTAATAATTCTAAAATATTTATACAAAATTACAACTTTCCTAATAAAATCCTATATAATATAAAAATATTAAAAATAAAAATTCTTTATATATTGTCTTACATTATTAATAAATTCAATATCTAAACATAATCTTAAAAAAAAAAAAAAAGAAAAGAAAAAAAAAGGTTAATTATAAAAAATAACGGTAAACTATCAATAGATCTTAGGGAGATTTATATGTAAATCTTAATAGGTAGACTTATTGTCCAATAAGTCCTATGATAATTAATAATTTTTTCATCAAATGCTATTAAAAAATGTCATTAATTGTTAATTTTCAACGACAGTTTAAAAACCTTGTCACATAAGTTTTAGTAACAGTTTAAAAAAATCGTAACAAAAAAAGTCCCTAATTGTCAATTTTTAACGAAATGCAAAAAATCGTCACAGAAAAATATCACTAATTCTAAGTTTTAGTAACAATTTATAAAATCGTGACAAAAAAAATCATTGATTGTCAATTTTTAGCAAAATGTAAAAAATTGTTACAAAAATTTATTTTTAGCGACAATTTTATTAGGACTTATTTTCAACAGAACTTGATGGGAATTAAGTTCAACTTTCAGTGATGGTTAGTGACGTTTTTCTGTGACAAATTTTTTAAACTGTCGTTGAAAGTTAAAAATTAGTGACTTTTTTTATAATGATTTTTTTAAACTGTCGTTAAAATTTATAATTAATGACATTTTTTGTGACAATTTTCAAACTATCGTTGTCATTTATTATCATAGGGTTTATTGGACAATAAATCCATTTATTAGGACTTACACGTAAGTCTCTTAGAACATCTCCAACGGTACATCAGTTTTTTATCAAATTTGAATAAAAGCTTCCTTTGATATCAAGTGTTCCAACGGAGGATTTTGGAGCTTTATCAAAACACCGGTTGATCGGGTAAACGACTGGACGGATGTCCGACTGATCAACCGACCAACGTAAATTTTTTTTTGCCTTGGAATGGTCGACCGACCAGTGCAATTTTTTCACAAATTTTTGCCTTAAAGTGATCATTTGGGAGGACATTCGGGGAACATCCGATAACAATAATAAACAGTAATTTGATGAAAAATACATTTGTCCTTTAATAAAAGAAAAATGAAAATTTCAATTTAATACCTATCTGATGCAATCATTGAAATAAGAAAAGAGCTTATTTTTCATTAAATTCAAACTAGCATATCACCCGTGCTATGCACGGATTGTGTTTACAATTATTTATATATGTGAATTGCGATTTTTTAATGTCTTTTTTTTATTTTTTTAAATGCCTTCTTTTTTTCCTTTTTTATATTATATTAAAGTTTAATATTTTGATAATAATCATTTGTGTTAGACTTTTCAAAGAATTAAATGTCTTTTTTTAAATATTTTGATAATAATGATATGTGTTGGACTTTTCAAGAATTTTTTTTATACTTGCTCTTAATGCATTAAAGTGTTATTATGAGGGATAATAATCATATGTGTTGGAACTTTTCAAGGAATTCATGTGTTGGATTTTAAAGAATTTTTTTTATGCTTATTCTTATTGCATTAAAGTGTTATTATGAGGGTAAGACTTGGGGGTTGAGAGAAGTTAATAAATGCTAAGTTTTTTTTTTTTTTAAATCAAAAAATCAGAAAATTTAGATTGGAAGATTGGAGCTCCCACAAAGCTTGAGGTTAAAAACCCCCTTTTACTTAATATATAGTATAGATTTGATGAAATGTTATTAACCATTGGAGCTGGTGTTATAGGTAATGAAACGTATGGAAAGGCAAGTGAGATATTAGGGCTGAGGAAGAAATCCGTGAAATTCGTAATCCGATCCAGTCTAGTCTAATCCAATAGGTTTGGATTGATTTTTTGAATCCGTGGTTCGATTCCGGATCAAAAAATTAAAAATCCGTAGTTCACGAATTGGTTCCGGATTGAACCCCACGGTTCTGGATGGGAACCGATTCGGACCGTATATAAAAAGTTAATATTTTTATTATACACTCTTCTACATAGTATCTTCTCTTATTTTATATAAAACTTAAATTCAAACCTAAACTCGCATAGTATCTTCTTTTATTACTTTTGTTTGCTAGTTTTTAGTGTTAATTTTGTAATGGTCTAAATACTTATGGTAAAACCAGTTTTCTTATGGTTGTTTAAATTTTAGAACAATATGTTACTATTATGAAAAAATATGTTGCTATTGTGAAACTAATATGGTGCTATATTTATATTTTTATGAAATTAAAGTATTATATATATATATTTTGTTATTTAATTATGTAAATTCGTAGTTCTAAACCAATCAAATCAGTATTTAAATGGATTGGTCCGGATTGGTTCCACGATTTAAACGGATTGGATTGGTTCCAATTTTTCAGGAACAATACATAACGGATTGGTCCTGATTTTATCCCAATCCGATTTAATCTGGACCATGCTCACCTCTAGAGATATCTCTAAACTTTAGGAGGTTTTATGATATTATCAAAAATTAAGTGCTTATTTGGCATCTGTTAAAATAACACATTATCTTATTTTGATCACAATTATTTTATTTGAGTCACATTATCTCTCTATTACATCATTTCAAACCCAAGCAAGATGTTATAATTTTTTTCCGTAAATATTAAAAAAAAATAATAATAAAAAAAAAAATACTAATCTAACGCAACCCCCGATGTTATAGTATGGTAAATTAATGATATTGGGGTTTCTAGCATAAATCTCATCTCTCTCTCTCTCACATCGGAAAACATTCAACAGCGCCCGTCGGCTGCCCTAGTATATACAAACCGGTGACTCTCTCTCTCTCTCTCTCTACATATGTATGTATGTATGTATGTATGTATGCGTACAGGTATGTAATCATGCCGTTTTCTATGTGATACTTCCGATTTGATTCAAGTTGATGCGTTTGATTTTCATTTTAGTGTGTTGTTTTCTTCTTTGAGTGTTTGATTTGTTCATGTTTTCAGTTCAGATTATACATAACTAGATTGATTTCGATCGATAACATAGTTTTTGAAAGTTGCTTTATAGTAACGCCAAACATTAGGGTTTTGGGTTTATGAAATGAAGGACCATGGTGGCTGTCTAGCTGGTAAAGTGTTTGTGTTCTAAGTGTATCTAATTATGTATGGATTTGAGCTTATAAATGTATTTATGAGGTTCGATTTTCGCCACATTTTTTTGTTTAGTAAATAATTATCTTCATCAACATTGTAATGATGGGGTTGTTTGCTTCATATTGTATTGTGTTGTTGTCATACACTAGTTGAGCATCTTAATCTATGTAGTCTACAGAATCCCTGAAGTCCCTTTGTTGTTGTAAATAGTGGGCAGATTAAATGATGAGTTTATTGTATGAATTTGTATTGGTTTCATTGATTTACTTGGGTTTTTCATGTATTCTAACTCCTCTAAGATAAGATTGAATTGAACTATAATTTTCTTAGTTTTTTTTTGCCACTTTGTAAATTGTATAAACTCTGTAAGATGTAAGCTTTCACAGGCTGTGATAGATAGATGGCTAATATAGAACTATACCTATTTTAAGTAGTTATTGGGATTTTAGACTTGGGTGGGTTGAGGTGTCATGTAAATAAAATTGATGAATGGTCGTTTGTTGAAAAATCACTTGCTTTCGTTTTTCTTTTTCTATTTCAGAAATGTATGGTTCTGGGCATAAACATAATGGAGTTCAATTCTATATCCAATACTGTCGAGACAAAACCTAATTTTTTACTTTCTTAATAGAAGGAGTTATAAATCCAAGATATAGTTGCTTCACTATCTGGGCTGTATGAGAGGAAGATGTTGCTGTTTAATATGTTTCCATGATTGTCAACTACTTCTGTTGATTTGGAGTGCACACATGTAGCTTGTGCAGCCCCTTAATAACTGCAGAACATTTCTCATATTTTTATGTAGAGGTAGTTGGATACATCCTTGCATAGTTTTAATTCCATCAATGGCATTACTTTAGGACTTATAAACTGTAAAATTGACGGCTAATTTGAGGCAGTATTATGGTGAATAATTCATAAGGATTGGGTTTTGTTGCCTCTCCCATAATGTTAGTAGAATCTGTGATTTGGGACCGTTGCATCTATGGGTGTGTTACATGTGTACGCTAAAACGTGCTTTGAATATGCAGAGACACAGACAGAAAGCCATTTGTGTGCTTTATTGTAGGCACTTTTGTGATCTGTATTGGTTTTAACAAAGCACCTTTCTTTTGGCAAGTAATGTCTTTGACATTTGATGCAAGTTGTAATTCTTTTTGAAGTCACTAGTCTTGTCCTCTCTTCTCACAGATCTTACTAGCAAACCAGCATTCCTTCTGTTGGAGCACTGAGTTCCCCGGGAATCGTCAAGATGTCTCGAAAAGGGTTGATGGAGCAGGATTTGAGCAAGCTGGATGTGACAAATTTACATCCACTCTCACCTGAAGTTATTTCTCGTCAGGCAACAATAAATATTGGTAATTTAATGGTTTGTAAATGTTTAACTGATTTCAACATACGTCAGTTGACATTATGGTTAGGGATTTGAATTTTTGTATATTCTGCATTAACATCCTAGCATAATAGGTTCTAGTGCTTAAACTTGAAGACTGTAATTTAGAGTTAAAATTATTTCCCAGGTACTATAGGTCATGTGGCTCATGGCAAGTCAACAGTTGTTAAAGCAATATCGGGTGTTCAGGTAATTACTTGTTTTCTCTCTTACAGTTTCTACTAGTATGGTATCTATTCTCAGTATTTTCCTGAACTTGAAATATGAGTTTATTTGTGTTCAAGTTTATCATTTGGTTCAACTTTTTAGCAGTTTGACAGTCTACTTATTTCGCAACAAAGTAAAGCTAAATGCTATTAAATTTTTGTACATCTTAGTCAATTGTTATTCCTTGGTGTTGGAGTTGTTGTTATTAAGCTCTCAAGCAAGAAAAATGCATTAACCAAGAAGTCAATGGAATGAAGTGGTTTTCAAGTATATTGGTTCAAATTTCTACATGGTAAATTTGAGGGCTTTGATGATTTGTCAATTTCTGCAGACTGTTCGTTTTAAAAATGAGCTGGAGCGCAACATTACTATTAAGCTTGGATATGCCAATGCAAAGATATATAAATGCGAAGAAGAACGGTGCCCTCGGCCCATGTGCTACAAGTAAGTTGGTATCCTTGAATATAGTGCGCTTTCTTCACTTTAGCATATTGTTGGCATATAGTATGTATTATTATATATACAATCCTTTTTGTAGGGCATATGGAAGTGGTAAAGAAGATAGTCCTATGTGTGATGTGCCTGGGTTTGAGAATTGCAGGATGAAATTGCTGAGGCATGTATCTTTTGTTGATTGCCCGGTATGGTTTTCAATGCTCTCTTGAGGAAATATTGTTTATTTACATCAAGCATATCTCTACATATATTCCTATGGACACGTGCATGCAAGCATCTACATGTTGAGATTATTACTTGTCAATGGTTTGTGTGCTCGGGATATTGCATAATTGTATGTCTTTGTATGTACAATACTCATCTTCAACAGAAAGTAATTTTTTATGGTTTATTTGTTTAGTTCAATCTATTATGGCATTTGATGACATTGATTGATCTGTCTTTTATTCAATTTTGTAGTTCTAAGTTTGAACTACTAGTCATTAGAATGTTATCATATGCTTAAGCCTTATACTCTATGAAATTTGTCAACTATTATTATTTCAAGTGAACCATGCATTTTTAAATGTTTATATTATCCTATTAGGAGATTTTATTTAACCTAGTTGTATGGTTGAACAAGAAAATTAGGATGCTGTTTGCATCTTTTTTATGTCTCTGTACTTGTGGTGCATATTATCTCATTTTTATAGATACAAGCTCAATTATTGTTTACAGCATATGAGACCACAATGCCTTAAAAATTCTGTTTGAATTTGTTAGTGTCACTGCATATTATCTCTATTGCTTGCCTTTATAATTTATGTTACTGTCACTTCACTTTCATACTAGTTTTGAATTTGTTGCTTGCCTTTATAATTTTTGTTAGTGTCACTTCACTTTCATACTAGTTTTGAATTTGTTGCTTGAAACACCTGATATAGGGCTTAGATGGTTTTCTATTAACTACTACGTGGAAATTGATGTTTTGAGAGGAAAATTTGATTATAAATGGGGAAGAACACTTGGGCAACTGAAAAATGATAATTAGAAGAATTGAGAGAAGTTAACCAATAGAAGAATGGATTTGTTGAGGCAAAACTCAGCTTTTCTTTATGAGCTTAATGGTAGCTGGTTTTTCTCTGATGTGGTCTGAGATGTTTGGGTTTCTTGATTTCCTACAGGGTCATGATATTCTCATGGCTACAATGCTTAATGGAGCAGCAATTATGGATGGAGCATTACTTCTCATAGCTGCCAATGAAAGTTGCCCCCAACCTCAAACTTCAGAGCACTTGGCTGCTGTTGAAATAATGCGGCTCCAACATATAATAATTCTCCAAAATAAGGTCGATCTTATTCAGGAAAATGTAGCTATCAACCAGCATGAAGCAATTCAGAAGTTCATCCAGGTCAGTTGTTTTGGGCCATTTTATAGTGTTTTCTTCCTCTCTGGTTGGCTAATTAACTCTGGCATAATGTGTTAGTGTTTCTGTACTTTCCTTACCAGGGAACTGTGGCTGATGGTGCACCAGTGATACCAGTTTCTGCACAGCTAAAGTACAACATTGATGTTGTGTGTGAATATATTGTGAAAAAGATCCCCATTCCAGAAAGGAACTTCATCTCACCTCCTAACATGATAGTAATCCGGTCGTTTGATGTCAATAAGCCTGGGTTTGAGGTTGATGAAATTAAAGGAGGTGTTGCTGGTGGAAGTATTCTCAAAGTATGGTTCTTTTCTTTCCTTCAAAATTACTTCTCCTTCTGTTGGCATGTTTTAAAACTTTGTTTGGGGGGGGGGGGGGGGGGGGGGGGGGGGGGTGGGGGGGGGGGGGGGGGGGGGGGGGGGGGGGTTGAAATACAAAAGGCTCTGTTGGCAAAAAAATGCTTGTCTGGTCTTCACATGGAATATCTACAAGACTACTGCACATCCCATTGTCTGAGATATAATTCAGAAGGCTTGCATGCCTAAAATGGTGCTCTGATTGCCATTGATGTTTTCTCAAGTCAGTACATGGGGCATCTTTCTCCCATCTGCTCCTGTGACCCATTCATTGGATACACACAAATGTAAAATCAGATTTATATTATAGCATATCATAAGCTAATCTTGCTTTTTTTTTTTTGGGGAACCTAGATATTTTTTTATATTTTTTATTTTTTTTAACACAAGAATCTGCAATCTCTTGTGAAAGATTCAGGAATTACGCATCTTGACTAGATTTTTATTTGATCCTCTGTTTTGTTCAGGGTGTTCTGAAGGTAAATCAACTCATTGAGGTTCGTCCTGGGATTGTTGTTAAGGATGAGAGTGGAAACATCAAATGCACACCGATTTATTCAAGAATAGTTTCATTGTTTGCCGAGCAAAATGAACTGCAATTTGCTGTACCAGGAGGTCTCATTGGGGTTGGCACTACTATGGACCCGACTTTGACACGTGCTGATAGATTGGTCGGTCAGGTTCTTGGTGAGGTTGGGACACTCCCTAAAGTTTTTGTTGAACTAGAGGTAAATACAATTTTCAATTCTGTTATTTACTCCTGTGGTTAGTCAGTGCAATCTATAGTTTAACTAGAAATGTGCCATGGGCATTCATGCTAGTTCATGATAAAAATTTATTTCTCTATATTACCTCTCTAGTTCAATAGAACCTTTTTTTTTTTTTGAAAAATTAGAAACTAGTTTGACATAAATAAATCCCAAAAAGATATTTTTGAATTTTAAAAAATGATTTCTTTCACCCAAAGAAGCAAGTCTGTCATATGAAAATAACGAGTGGTTTTTTATTTTTGTCATTTTTTTCACTGAGCTAGTTTTTGAAAAAATTTCAGAAACAGATTCAGAGAACTCAACCAAACGCGTACATTTCATTATCACGGCCGGCATCTTTATTTTATTGCCGAGTCCATTAATATTTCTGTTATGATTCATTCTTTTGGATTTTTTGGACCCTTAAAATGCCTTAGAATACAAATACCAGATGCGATTGTCAACGTAATGGTTGTGAAACATTTCGTTTTTTGATTTTGCAGGTGAACTTTTTCTTGTTGAGACGGCTTCTGGGTGTGAGGACAAAGGGCACAGAAAGGCAAGGAAAGGTCACAAAGCTAGCGAAGGCAGAGATTCTGATGCTGAACATAGGTTCTATGTCAACAGGTGCTCGAGTTGTTGGTGTAAAGAATGATTTGGCAAAATTGCAGCTCACATCTCCAGTTTGCACCAGTATGGGGGCAAAAATTGCTCTGAGCAGGCGAGTCGAGAAGCACTGGCGTCTAATTGGGTGGGGTCAGATTCAAGCTGGTACCACACTTGATGTTCCTGCTTGTCCCATTTGAGTGAATCCGACATACAATTAGATAGAAGAAAGAAGAAAAAACAAAATATCAAACAGAAAAATTGGGGGGGAAATGTGGGAGGGTTGGTTGCAATTTTTGTGAGATGGAGAAGGAAAAATTGATGCGGATGGCTATTGATTGTTTGTAATGGTTCTTGTTTTGACTTTTAATTTTTGTAGTGTGGTATAACTTCTGCAGATTCGTTAGTTGTTTCTGTTTTGAGAATCGGATATGTTGGATATGTTTTGACAGATGAACTTATTGGTCCATTTACCGGATGAGTTCATGGCTATTGGGAAATAACCCTAACGCTGCACTTGAACAGATGTATTCATGGCTATAGATGTGGTTGTTTCTGTTGGAGTGTTGTATATGTTGGTTACATTTTATCAGATTTTGAGTTCATAGATATTTGGCAAAAAACCGACAGCTTTCCATTCCTTATCGCGTTCATTTCTAGTTTATTTATTTTTATTTATTTTTTATTTTGGGAAACTGAAAACTAAAACTTGTATATTCGTTTTGTTTTCAAAAGATGGAACTAATTCCAAAATTTTAAATTGTTTTGGAAACAAATGCTTTCACTTGTCAGAATAATTTTTCACTCCCCTCTCATCACCCACTGCTGGCTGGTTGGCTGCCGGCTAGATCTGGCCACCTCTTGATGACTCTTTGGCAATCGGTTGGTCACAGACCTAATCACCCAGTGACCTTTGGCAGCCTCCAACTACCAACTCCAGCGACCTCTGACCATCAACTCCCGTGGCCACCTCCAACCATCACGAAACCATCGGTCATTACATTTGTCTACCTCACACCATCAGCTACCACCTCTGGCAACAAGTGTGTTTATTTTTGTTCTTGTTTTTGTTTGTATTCAAAAAAAAGGAACACACAACTCTTAGTGATTGACAGGTTTGAAAGAAACATCTTTATATTTAATAATAAGATCAAAATATAATTGAGTATAAAATTGTTAAGTTAAAATGTAACTTATCAAATTTGTTGCTAAAAATTTGATGTGAAAATATAAATATAGGTCTGATTAGTTATTCGGAAATAAAAATATGTTAACTTTGTCACTGCGGTAAGCTTTTTCAGTCTTTAAACAAATCATACCATCCCCATTATTTCTCTTATCTCTCCTTGCGAAAAGATTACATTTTAATAGTACAACTAAACTATTTTTTTTTGTTTTTTTGTTTTTTGTTAATAGAACCCAATTTAAATTTTGAATTCAAATTTGTTCACCAAAGAAAAGAACATTTTCCAAAAAAATATCTTTCAATTATATTTTGATCTCATCATTAAACATAAATATTTTTATTGATGTTTCGCCTCTTAATAACCAAACAACTTCAATTTTTTTTATTTATTTAAATTTTGAATTCAACTTTGTAATCTAAAAAAAATTCCACAAACATTTTTTGATATGACTATAATCAAACTCAGCAACACTAGCCAGCACACAAAGCAAATGCAAAAAAATAAAAAAACAAGGACCAATTTCACATGCCCTTTCCCTCCAAATCCCTCTTCTTCTTCTTTTTTAACCTTTCTTATACTAACTACAAAAACCCATAAATCTACGGCATGCTCTTCACTTTTAAGAGTATAAAACATATAAACTCATAAATCTAGGGCATGCCTGGATTATAGAAAAATAAATAAATAAATAAAATAAAAATAATGTTTTGTTTCTCGCTCCTCTTCTTTTCTCTCTCTACCTCTCTCTCCAAACCCCTCCAATTCCAAACCCTTCCCGTACAATTTCTTTCAAAACTACAGTCTCTCTCATGGACAACAACCCAAGATTCAAAAACTCTTACTGTCGATTAGAATTCGAAATCACCCTCTTCGTACAGTTACACCACCCTCATCGACAACAACCGTCTTCGAAACCACCATCACTGCCACCCCAGAATGCCCCTTCCATGCCGCCTCCAACACGATGCAGTAGGGTCAAAACCTTATCCACGGCTATTTGTGGCAACACTACCACCGGTCTCGACTTCAACAGGTATCATACGGCGACAGTTTGTTTGGATCCAGTGCTCTCTGTGTCGAAAATGCTACACTCAGACCGACCCAATCTTCGATTTGACCAAATTAACTCACTGAGCTGCAACAACCATCAGATGTGTCTCTACCAGGTATTGTACAGTGACGATTCGTTCATGGTAGGCGATTTCTCAATTGAAATGTTAACGTTTCGGAGGACCAGAGTCCCTAAAGTTGCTCTCGGATACGGTCACGACAACGAAGGCTTGTTCGTCGATGCCGCGGGTTGTTGGGTTTGGGCTGGAAGAAGTGAAGATGAAAGACAAAAGAGAGAGTGCTAGTTAGGCTGGAAATTGGGAAGTGACGTTGAGAGCCTTAAGAGAGATAGGAGAGTTTAAAGAGAAAGTGAGAAGAGCTTGGGGAGAGAGAGATGGAGTGAATGTGTGTTTTGAAATTTAAAATTTGAAAAGTGAGGCTAAGAGAAAGAGAGATAAGAGAGTGTAGAGAGACAGTGAGGTGAGACGTGAGAGGGAAAGAAAGAGGGTGGGTGAGCGCAAAGTTTTAAATGGTGATGTTAGATGCGAATATGCTGCTGTGCATAAAGCAAAGCAGCAACCGCTACACTTGGTACGATATCGTTTTGTTTTTTTTGGCTCATTGTTGTAGAATGTTTTCCTCCCAAAATATCTCTCTCTTCTCTCATTTTTTGAGTCTTTTCACCTATCCACCCACACATCCGCTCTCTTTTTTTGAGTTTTTTCTCAAATTTCAAGTGTAGTACACTACTTTCTCTAATGCAATTGTCTTCTTCGGGAATGAATCTTTGGTTTGTTTTTTTTGTTTTGTTTTGTTTTGTTTATTTATTTTTTTTAATTTTTTTTTGGTGTGTATAAAATGATATTGGACTTTTAAGATTATCTCTTGAGACAAAGTTTGATTGCAGTTTTTTTTAAAAAAATTATATAATATGGCATGACGGTTTTTGAAAATGTACATTTTGAATCAACGGTTCAAATTATTTCATCTAACAATTTAAGGGTGAAGATGATTTCTTTACTTTTGGTTTCCCCTCAAAATATATATCTTTCTCTCATTTTTTGAGTCTTTTCACCTATCCACCCACCTTGTCTTCTTCGGGAATAAGTTTTTGGTTTATTTTTTAATTTGTTTTGTTTTGTTTTGTTTTGTTTTGTTTTGTGTGTGTGTGTGTATATAAAATGACACTGCACTTTTAAAAGTATCTCTTGGGACAAAGTTTCTACAGTTAAAAAAAAATAAAATAAAAAATGGACAAATCACAACCACCAAAAAAAAATCTTAGAGTTTGAGTATGGTAATAAAATAAATCTTGTGGTTTTAATTTTTTTTAGTTTAAACCCTTATTTTTTTAATCTAAATTATTTGTCTATTTTTATTAAATAAAACTAACATAATAAGTGTATTTTAGCCATTAAACTTAATGTAGGTATACATAAAATATTTAAAATATCATTTTTTGTTGAGTTTAATGGCTAAAATACCATTTTTTCGTTAGTTTTACTTAATATAAATATATAAACTGTTTAGATTGAAAACAAATCAAAATATTAAGGTTTAAATTGAGAAAATTAAAATCTAAGGACTTATTTTGTTATAAGGGTCAAATCCTAGGAGTTTTTTTTTTTTAATTATATTTTCCCAAAAACTTTAACCAAATTATTATTGATTTTCTTATTGGTTGTATTTAAAAAAAAAAAACTAGGCTATGAATTGTTAAAAATTAAATAACGTTCAAAAATTTAATTTTAATACACATTTTACATATTCGTACACACTTTATATATTTATATACATGTTTACATATTTAATATATATATTATATATATATTAAATATTTTCTAACGTTATTTGATGTTGAACAAATACTTAAAGATGAGTTGTAAGCATAATATTTTTTAATAATCAATAAGAAAATCAGTAATATTTTGGTCAAATATTTTTTCTTTTAAATAAAAGAAACCAATAAGAAAATTAATGAAACATTTCGCCACAAGAAATATTTTTAAAAGCCAATACCATTCAACAAGAGTGAGCAAAAAAAAAAAAAAAACAAAAAAAAAAAAACAAAGAAACAAAACGATACTGTACCATGTGCAGCAGTTGCTGCTGTGGTTTATGCACAGCAGCATCTTCACATCTAACATCACCATCTAAAACTTTGCACCCATCCATCCTCCCTCTTTCTCTCTCACGTCTCACCTCACTTTCTCTCTACACTCTCCTATCTCTCTTTCTCTCAGCTTCACTTTTCAGATTTTAAATTTCACAATACACATTCACTCCCTCTCTTCCCCAGGCTCTTCTCACTCTCTCTAAACTCTTCTATCTCTCTTAAGGCTCTCAGCCTCACTTCTCAATTTCCAGCCTTACTAAACACTCTCTCTTTTGTCTTTCAGCCTCACTTCCTTTGGTCCAAACCCAACAACCTAACGGCGTCGACGAATAAGCCTTTGTTGTTATGACTGCATTCGAGAGCAACGTTGTGGACTTTGGTCCTCCGAAACTTCAACATTTCGATTGAGAAATCGCCCACCGTAAACGAATCATCGCTGTACAATACCTGATAGAGACACATATGACGGTTGTTACAGGTCGGTGAGTAAATTTGGTTAGATCGAAGATTGGGTTGATTTGAGTGTAGCATTTTCAACACGGGCAACACCAGATCCAAACAAACCGTCGCCGTATGATACATGCTAAAGTCGTGGCCGGTGGTAGTGTTGTCGTAGATAGCCGCAAATAAGGTTTTGGCCCTACTGCGTCGTGTTGGAGGGGGTGTGGAAGAGGCATTTTGGGGTGGCAATGAGGGTGGTTTCGGAGAGGATTGTTTTCTGTGAGGGTGGTGAAACTGTACGAACAGTGGCGGAGCACAGAGAGTCTAGGGAGGTCACGTGCCCCCCTGGGTTTTGGAATTTTTTTTTTGCAAACACAAAGAAAATGTTTTAAATAAAAAAATTATAAAATATTATTTAGAACATTTTTAAAATTATGAGAATAATAATGGTTGTTTTTTTTATTGAAAATAAAGATATTACAATAAGTCATATTATTATTTATGAAAATTTCAATACAATGGTGATGTCTATCATTATTGACATATCATTATTGACATACAATTATAATTAATCTCAATAAAGATATGAAATTTATTGAATTATTAGTTGTATTTGACATATGGGATTCATCCTTTATGTATTTCTTTACTATTGATTAGTGATATCATATGTTAATGATGATGTGGTATTATTATTACATTGGATTTTTACTGAAATTTTGTATAAAAAATTACTTTATCATTATACAATTTATTTTAAAATTTATATCCATGACTTTTTTTTTTTTATATTGTCTATGATATACTAGTTACAAATAATATATATATA